CTCGTTCTACCTGTCTCAATCATGTAATATCTAATTTTTTTTCTCGAGAAATGTAATTAGATACATGGTTGAGACATGTAGAGCGAGAATTTACTCCATTTTTTCCCCGAGTTGGCTACAGTTGCGGTTGGCAATTCACCCGTTATGGTAAAGGGTTGGGACAGCCTTTACGACTCACCCTGTATATCATGTGTCCATCGTCATATTTCCTCTGCTATACGATCGGCGATGATTGATGGGGTGATAATCGTTTGCATCTAATTGCGTACAACACTTGAGGATAGTACGGGGGCACATTGAAATTGTCACGGCTTTCTTACTCTCTTATCGAAATTCACTTTTCTAACCCTCTACAATTCGGCTCAGTGACATCGCAAGCAACTAGGATGAACTATAGACAACCGAACTTATTTGTATACGATTCTAATTTTCTTCCCTTTTTCTTTCGCTGCATCACTTGAAGCTTATTTGATTGTACTCGCACGCACCTACGTTTACAGTCTACAAGTATTTCCTCGTGTTCACGCGCACGTGTGCAAAGGATGCAAGGTGGGAACGAATCGAGGCTCGTTAAATTCTCTCTCGGCATCCCCATTTCCTAGATGTTGATTCCCAAGATTGACCGCTCGCGATTCGCTGGCGCAATATCGAAGCGACTTGCGAAAGAGTTTAACACGGTAAGTTTTCCGATTATGATCTCTCAGGCTCTGAGAGGCCTTTGAAGAAGTTCTAATTCTCGAACGTTTCCTTCAGAACTGTCTGCAAAATTTCTCGCTGGGGGATTATAAGCGGAGAGAACTTGTTGCACCGTGAAGATTCCTCGATGTCGCGTTGGCGAAACAATTTTTCGGAATTATTCCAAAGGAGCGGAAAATATCTAAAGGGTGTCTGAGAGTCTGAGACGTCTTTCGTCCAGTCTTTGTAGCGTAGTCGATCAGGAAACGACAGATTTGGCGAGTCTCGACCGGTCTCCGCGAATGCAATCGCAATCAATTAAATGCGCAATGACGAGGCCCTTAGAGCACCCCAGCACCTCGGAATCGAAACAGCCAACGTCATTCTGCGACTCAGAAGCGAAAGGGAAAGACTAATATGCTACAAGTCGAGGAAAACATATCGGTCCTGACAGCTTCAAGTCTCCCAGAGAGTGATGTTAATTGCTTCAGTTCCGAGATGTGTCGGTATTGTACGCCGCGAGAAACTACTGCCAATTGCAACCGTGCACCTACGGAGTGGCTATAAATTCGCGCGTATGACGTCGCGTGGTGAAATCTCTTGATCAAGTCGAAGTTGATCTCCACATTTCGAGGCTGAACGGAATAGAACGTCAAAGTTAGCTCGTATCGTTCGCGCGATTAAATAATAAAACAGCTAATGGCTTGCGTTCACGCGGGATCGTCACTTGGACGAAACCGTCGTGCGAAGTCGTGTGGCATCGAATTGATCAGGAAAGAGCCTCGCCACGCTCGCGGGATAAGTGCGCGGGTTTACGGTCACCCCGGGTCTACACGCTGACGTGTAGCATCTCTAATTAGCTCTCCCTCACTTTATGATTTGTACGATATTTGGGCTTCTTATATGTCTGGTTTCTCTACGCTGTGTCGTACTTGCTCCTGTCGACGATTCGCCACCACGTAATCACCCCTTTCGATCTCACCGATATCCGTTCGAACGTCACCATCGCGTCTCACGTCACGTTCGATATATGCGTGCTCCGCCCTCGTGCAAGATTCATCATTCTTCTTTCCATCACACTCTCTCTTTTTCTACCTCTTTTTCTCTCTCTCTCTCTCTCTCTCTTTCTCTCTCGTTCTATCTCTCTGAATCTCTATTTCTACTGTGTATATGTACATACCCATCCGTCGGAGAGACACACTTTGAGAATCGATATATACATATATACATAATATATATATATTTCTATATTCTCCCTTTCTCTTCCTCCCCTTCTCTGTCTATCTCTGCCCATCTTATTTATCTATCTCTTTCTCTATATATCTCTGTCTATCTATATGAGTCTGAGTCCGTACTATATACTATATTGCCTTACTATAAGGATTGGACTGAAGGTTTTCTCTGTGTATTTTTTTTTTTTCATTGGCCGATATTTCTTTCGATATTTATGTATAATATATCACCCTATTGTTTTTTTTTTCGGTCTTTGTTCGTTTTGTTTTTACAACTAGTCGGAGTACTTAATTAATTAGGCACGTTTCGTACGTACGTGTGCGGCATGCGGCATGTATGTATGCATACGTGTGTGTGTGTGTGTGTGTGTGCGTGCGTGTGTATGCGCGCGCGCGCGTGTGTGTATGCCTGTCACGGACAAAGTACATGCGTGTGTAATCTTGCGTAGAAACGCGCATGCAGTTTCGCATGGAGGAAGGCATCCCCGTTTTCTCTCTTTTCTGTCTCTCTCTCTCTCTCTCTCTTATCGTTTTTTTTTATCCGGCGCCTTCGAGAGGTGCATGCCATTATATTCTGCGTATAAGAGTCTTCCGTTGCTTCGAAACCCGGAAGGTCGGCGTCATTTGTGCGGGCATCGACAATACGAGCGTACTCGTGCTAATTCGTAAACCGGCGAACTCGGTAAGAAAAAAAAAACAGAGTCTCTGCTTCTATCTCTCTCTCTCTCTCTCAATGTAACTGCGATCTACATCTCTGTGCACCTCGATCATCGGCATGGGCACAACAATCTTCATGCGATATGTTTCATTTTGATTTAAACAGGAGAACCTGCGTGTGAACGGGGTACACGGGGCGATTGCTCTCGGTGCACGTTTTGGCGATGTCTTAATTTTTGTCGAGAACCGAAAGCCTGAGTTTTCGGTAACGGAACCGCCGGCGGTTTTCACGATTAGACAGAAGTAGTAGAAGGACAGATGTCTCGTGCTCTTCAGGAACGCAAGTAGATAGCGAAGCGCTGCTTTCCCGCGTAAACGCCGTTTGCTCGAGCGACATGTCGGGACGTAGAAAATTGCGAGGGATTAAATTTAACCGTAGCGCTAAACTTAGCCCTAGTGAAAGCAATCAGTTAATCATGCATGTGTGGTTTTCAACAAACAAAACGTCGCCACGTTCGCCAGCAATGCGCCAGCCACCGGACGCCCTGTACGCGCTCATCTTCGTTTACTATGATCCACCTGTCCGGGTATCGCGAAGTTCGTGACGACGACTTTCTCTTTTGCATTCGAGTCTCCACGCGTCGTTTCATTTCGCTTCGTGCGAGAACGGTTTCGGTTCGCAGAGTCAGCCGTGATAAGCGTTCGAAATTTGCGCGAGTACCACGCGTATTTTTTGTTTTGCTAACAATTATTTCCTCTCGCCATTCCCGATCCGATCAGCGCGAGGTAAGATCCATCAGGTCGATGCCCGGGCGATGCGCCGCGCGTTCTCGGCTCTTCCCTGCGCGAGATCGGATGTCGATCGTAAGGACGACGGGCGGAATGTCACACGCGCGGGATTCGACGAGAATTCAACGGGGGGTGATCGCGCCAGCGTGAGATAAATCCGACAACACGGGGTTGCAGCAGAAGTAATTTACGACAATAACGTGACATAACTGTAAAATATTGTTTTAAATGTTAACATCTCGCTTGTACCAAAATTGTCAACAAAGGGACCGATAGAAAGGGAGCTCTCCCTCGGGATAATCTCGTGCTGTCGCACCCCACGACGCGAAACGTCCGGGAAACGACGCGAGGATCTTCAGGAAGACGTCCCGGTCTCCCTCGACAGACCCTCGACGTGCGTTTCGCGGGCGCCCCTCGGCGCTGTTCACCCCCTCGCGATTTTCCGCGCGTCCGCGTGAAACGAACGACGTTTTCGCGCGAGGAGCGAAACGGATCGCGTTTCTTCTCTCCATTCTTTTCTCTCCCGCGCGCGGTCCGCCGATGGTGACCTCTGACCTCGGATTTTTGATTTTTGGTTTCTCTGTTTTTTTTTTTAAGTTGACTAATACCGGACAGCAATCGATGCCAAATGTAAAAGAGCCCCAAACGAGTACTGACTTGTAACACGCACAACGCACGCACAAAACGTATAACCGACCCGCAGGTAATTATCTAACGGAATTAATCATATTTACGTATTATGTCCTACGGATTGTGTGCCTTCTTTTTCGTTCACTTATTGCGATTCACGACTCATCATTGCGCTCTCTCTCTTTCTCTCTCTTTCTCTTTCACTCTACTTCTCTGTCTTTCTATCTGTCTTTCTGCCTCTTTCTACTGCTCTTTATCTCTCTCTCTCTCTTTCATCCATGTCTTTACTTTCGTCGTTCACCATGATTCTTCAGCATTTCCATGATTTACGCTCATTACGTCTCTTGTCGCTCATCGTTTCACAGTCATGCTCTCTCTCTTCTGTCACATCGTTATTACGCATGCACATTATTCGCACATATACGCATGACATAGAAAAAGAAAGACGAAATTCGCCTCGCGATCTTCCGATCGTACGATCGTGGTGTGTCGAAGGGCGCCTTCGTCGCTAAACGTTCACGCGATTCAACGGCACGAAGCGCAAGGTCCGGATGTCAAATTGAATGCTTGAAGTGCGAAATTTTCAGTCAAATTAATAAATACAATTGTTAACTGCGCGTCTCAGTTACTTCAGAGTCTTGAAAGCACCCTCGGTGGAGACGTAGTCATAGCTGTCCCAAATATCGCTACTTGTTGGGGTTGCGCCAACCCTAACTAGACATGCGGTAACCATATCGGTCTCTCCGTGTATCAAAAATTGTTGGGCAATAATTTGCTGATAAAAATCTCGCTGGAAAATTAGAATAACGCTAAGTACGACGGTACAACGAACAATCAATCGTCGAGACGATAGCGGACTTTGCGCGACCTGTGTCTCGAGTACCATCAACTCTGCAATCTCTCTGTCTCTCTCTCTCTCTCTCTTTCTCTCTTTCGCAATTCATCCTTCCTACAATCTCATTATTCGGATCTTCGCATCGAGACGCCACTTTCTACGATCACCGCTCTCGTTGTCAGAAAAAGCATCCGCAGGGACGGCATACTATGAACGGGAAGATGTATCACGATACACACGACACGTTCAATCATCCGGTACCGGACTACTTCCGGTCTGCACCACGCACCAAATTGAAAAGAAAATGTGCCTCTGTACATACGACCAGGTGTACATAATCGATGTGCGATCTTCGAAGCTCTTACACGTTATCGTTCTCTACACTCTTATACGTCTATGTGTGTCTGTGTAACGCCCGTCGTGTCTGCAAACGCGTAAGTATTCTATGTGTGTCGTTGTGTACTTTACTCACGTTGAAAAAGTCGCGCGGCACCTCGCGAGGTACCGGAACGAGCCGCACCACTTGGGGATGCTTCTTCTCAACGAGAGCGCGCAAAGACAAAGCACGAATCACCCTCCCCACGATGCCGAGGTGCGTCGCGCCAGCGCGCGGAAGGGCGCCCGACGGTTCCGCGTTCTCCAGGAGGAGACGCTGGCGCGACGCAGAGCCGGGCCCACCCCGGGCCGGCCGGCCGGCCGGCGCGACGTTCTCGGCCCGAGCGTTGATTCCACGTGTCTGAACGAACAGGCAGCTACCCCTGTGCCAGCGGAACGCACTGTCGTGGGGTCAGCGAGCGTCCTCGGGGGAGGGGGCCACCCTCACGAGTCATCCGCCGACCATCAGCAGCGTCCGGAGAACGCACTCGACGCTCTGCTAGACGAGCTGCAAACCTTCTCCCGACCAGGCTCGCAGATGGGCCACGTGTCGGGCGGCCTGTCAGTGCATCCGGGCTCGAATACACTCCTGGCCGACATCGGCCGCGCCTCCAGCCTCCGAGAATCAACGAGTGTCGCGGCTACCACCGGCGGCGGCGGCAGCGGCGGCGGTGGACGCGCGCCCAACATCAGCGATATCGGCCGGAAGGGCAGCGTGGATTCCTCCAGCGGTACCCTGACCGCGCCTCCCACCGTCGGCCTGATGGGCTTGCCCGGGATGGCGCCGGGCGGCACCCTGCGTCGCTTGCACTCGTACCCCTCAAGCTCGGACACCGACACCTCACCGCCCATCGCTAGGCTGCAGGCTCTCTCGCTGGATCAACAGGCGCAGCAACAGCAGTCCCAGCCGGGTGTGCAGAGCTTTCTGCCCGGTCAGAAACCGCCGGTGCCGGAACGGAACGCCGAGCTGCTGCAGCTGGCGAGCACCAGGAGGGTGCCGCCGCCACCGCCACCGCGCACCAGCTCCCGATCGCCCCTGGCGAGCCCTACCAGCCCGCAGCTGCCGCCCAGGAATCATCCGTGTAATCTGCAAAGCGGCAACGCGACCCTGCGCCGACCCTCGCGCGGCAGCATCAACAACAGTCTCGTTGGCAAGGAGGGCAAGCCGCCGATGGCCTTACCGTCGAATGCCATCCTGTCCACCGTGGACCAGGTCGCCGGGGCTACATTGGCGCCGACCGCGCCGGGCGTCGCTCCGCCACACAACTCGCAATCCTCCGCGGTGCTGTCGACCAGCAACTCCAGCTCCTGCGAGAGCGTCAACTCGCAGGAGGGGCTGCAGAGCAAACGCGGCCGGCAGGAGCAGCTGGAGCAACGGCATCAGGAGCTACTCAGGAAGCAGAAGGCCCTGCAGGAGCAGTACGCCAGGCTGCAGCAGCTGCAGAGGAACGCGGCCGGTCTCACCACCGTGCCGCCGGCACCGCCCGATCTTCTCAAGAAGACCGGCTCCGAGAGCAACCTCCTGGCGAAGATGGGCCTCGGCCTGAGCGCGGCAAGTTCCGGATCCCTCACCAGCCTCAGCCTCAAGCCCCAGATCCTGCAGGAAGCCATGGGCGACGGTGGTAACCAGGTGGCCAAGGTGGTCGAGATCATCAACGGGCAAGCGATTCCGACGACCGTCGCGGCGACGACCAACGGCCAGATCCCCGGTACCACATCCACGACGATGGTATCGGGCGCGACGACCATCGGCTTGGCCACTACCGTCACCACGTCCACCACGACCACCAGCAAGGTCTACGAGACGGACATTCTGTGACCGAGAAGCCGCTCGCTGATCGGCTGCTCGACCGTCAAGGTCGCCACTGAAATCGCGCTGGCGAGTTAACACGGCGGCCGGCGGGATCGCGAGGCTGCTACCGCGTGGTCCTTGTGAGAGGAAGGCGAGGCGAAACGCGTCGAGGAAGATACGGGCTCGAGTTCGACAACAAGGAATTGCTAGAGTTAAGAAGACCAAATCGGCTGGCGGACAGGAGGGACCGCGAACCGAAGGAATAAGAAACGGAAGATGGAGGAAGGGGCTGCTTCCGGTGTCCTGAACGATGTGGGCGCCGTCGTGCGCGGCCGCTTGGAAAGTAGGGTACAGCGTAGGGATTCAGCGCGAGAGTCGCGCGTAAAGATACCGCACTAATCGCTATGGTTAATATAGTATTAATGGTTGAAAGAAAGGGGGAAAAAACGCGCGGCGCGAGGAAACCTTTCGATTTCGAAGCGTCGACGTCCGCATTCGAAAGGGAGAAGAATAAGGAAAGAAATAGGAAAAACGCGACGCGAATCTCACGCGTCGCGTAGCGTATTCAAGGCGGGCGCAGGCGGGCTACACCACCCCGGTTCTCGCGTCTTGCCCCCGGTCTCTCGATCTCTACCCTCCCCGTCGGCGTCCGGTCTCTCTCGGAACAATGTGCCGTGCTCTCAAAGCCGACCTGGCCCGTACACGTCCGCGCGTCCGCACCCCTCAGCAACGTCTGCGCGTGTGCCAAATACGAGAACAAAGGAGTAAGCCACGGTACTCGCGTACGTTTTTTTCTAAGATAATTATACACCCGTAATTATCCGGCTATTCGTTCTTTCTTCATCGTAGTAGGGCGAGCGTAAGGTTCTACGTAGGTGAATCGTCGTATATAAATATTATACATATATACATACGTATTATATATATAAATATATACATACACGCTACACATGTACGCGGGCGGGCGGGCAGGAGATTTATATAAATATATATACACAGTAAGTGGAGATAGGTAGGTAGAGAGAGCTAAGTATATGATATATAAAATTGTATATTTCATATGTATGAAATATACTGAAATCGTACACCACTATACGTCGTTGACGCCGCAGACGAAGCTGCGGAACGATCTCTCTCTCTCTCTCTCTTTTTTTTCCTCCTCGGACGACGCGCGGCGAAACGGCACGTACCGAAACGTTTTGTACACGATGACGACGGTCCTAATGTAGCGCAGACGCGACTTCTAATCTCGCAGGAGCTTAGAACAATTGTTACCGCGCGTCCGCATTCACGCGAACGCGACAGCGATAGGCGATCGACGCGATTACTCTCATTACACCCGGTAAGGGATTTACTGCGGGAGATACGCGATCTGTTCAGGGAGTAACGAAAAGGGCACGGCATAACAGCGGGGGTGCGAGCAGTTGGCGCGATAGTCGACAAGAGGATCCAGGAAGGACCTGAAAAGCTGCGATAGAACGTAAACGCGAGGAGCAACACCGATCTTATTAACGATAAAGATGGCGGCACCAAATCGCCCGGGGTCGTAAAGAGAAAATCACCTGATTTTGGTGGCGTAGGATAGTCCTGTATTGCGAGGGTATACATCTGATCGCCAATTAAGCTGTGCCGGCAGTTCGAATTAATTAAATCGCCATCTCTCTTCAATGCGGCACTGTTTTAGCTGAAAAACTGATTAGAATTTAATAGACTTTCCTCTGGGAATGAAATCAGATAAAAGAACAAAGAGAATCCGCAATTTTTTGTCGACACTTTAGGCGGGACTTTACACTTAATCCGCGAACTTTGTCGTACAAAGATACTTTTGGTCAAATTTTCGTCTGAATCGCTCAAATTTACGGTTCGCAGGAGAGAGAAAGGGAATTAATTGATCCGGAATTAGCGCCCATTTAGTGTCGGCGTAGCTAGTTCTGGTCCGAGACCACGTGGCCGGCAACGATCGAGAGACACGGCAAGACGCGCGAGAGATCTGTTGGCGAATTTTTTTCGGCGGCCAAAGGTGTACGTTAGGAAGGATATTGCTCAATATTTGCCAACCCGAACGCAACAGCTCCGCTACATATGTACATCTCGCAATTAACGCCGTACATCCCGCGTCGGATTATTTGGACGATCGCAATCATTAGCTAATTATCACCTCGCGCCCCACCGTCACAGGATGACGCTCGTCGAGTCATCCTGCGCTTCATCGTCTCTCCACTCGTCGCGATCGCCGAACGATCGAGCGCTTTGCGATCAAGGTGACGGATCGGCGTCTCGCGATCCGATAGCGGTCTGTGGTCATTAACTTTCTACAGTTTTTCGAGTGAATATTTACTCCGATAGAGCGAATGTTTCACTCCGTGGCAGTATTTTCACTCCAAAAATTTTAGGGAGAAGAAGACTCGTGGTTGACGATTAAGTTTTCAACGCGATCCGGACCGGAGAAGTCAGTTAAGGCCTGCGTCGACGATGCTAGAACTTGGTCCAAGTTAAAGAAGCTCGCGCGCGGATGCAACTCGAGTCGAATTCTCGCTGCGACAATTCGTCGCGAGGGCTTTGTGCGTCACCTTGATCGTTCCTCGGGCGCGATCGCCGCGTTTTGCGCTATTTTATCGCAGTTTATACCGCACGAGCTCGCGTCGTCGCGCATTCCGGACAACGCAGGTGTCTCAACTCCCTCCGGGGTGCCAAGAGCGAGACGTTGCTCTCCTCTCCTCGGAGATGCTCTAGATTCTGTGTTCGCGTTGTTCGGGCCGCACCGGCGCCCGACGCAGTCGCATACCTTGCTTCGAGAAGGGCCTAACAGCTGACGCATCATATACGCATTTATTTATTTTGTACGCTTCCACCCCCTTCCGCTAGCCCGGTCTGCGAACGCGGACCGGCTCGACGAGGCTTACGTGTCAACCCTCGGATGCGTTCGCGGAACTCCAGCTCGGTGGACGGACGGTTCTCCCTGGACGAAGATCGCCAAGAGACTCGCGGAACGTACGTTTCATTGGACTTGGTCTCGCGTCTGGCGAACGGCACGTTGCCGAGTATCGGTCGTAAAGTTGCAGAATAAAATTCGCCGTTGAACAACGGCAAAGTCGACGATCGATGTTCTATATTTGACTGTTTTCTAATTCGTAATTGAATATTCCTTTCGTTAAGTTAGCTAGTTGGTAGTTAAGTAAGTTACTAGAGAATTATTGGAAATTGTTATTAGGATCATTAGGGATAGATTGCATGCTACGTAAGATCCGCGAATTGCTAAGCCGCGTCGATGTAAGCACACGTGGCTCTTGCTAATGTCGCGGAAGAAAGAAAGCGGGAATTGGCATCGGTGATCGGAGGCTCGTTAATCTTATGATTTATCGGTGGCGATATCAGCGTAATAAGCGACGTGGACGTGTCTTATTGTCTCGCGATCGATTAATATTTATCCCGCGGCTACGAAGAGAAGCGCGGCCGCCCGTCGGCAGTCAGCGGTGAAGTTAACGTCCGGGGGTTGAAACGCGCGGCGAAGAAGACAAGCATACCTTATTTATTTTCCATTGTCGCGCATACAGCAACACATACATACACGCAATCCGGAGCACGTCTTTATAGGGAAATAATAATTACCTACGCAGTAAGAGTATACTAAGGATAAGGCGAATGATAATGATTGATAACGAACATTACGAGTGCTTATCAAGTATTATAATGATAACGACGGGAAAACGTTTCCCCGGCGGGGGAATGTCTGGAGATAGAAGGGAAAAGAGGAAAACTTAGAAAGCGGAAATCTCGTTCCTTTTCCCACCATTTCATTTTCTTTCCTCGCGCGAAAACGGTCGGGCGTGTACGATAAGATCGTTCCACGATTGTAAGGTACTTACAGCGTGTCGCGTACACAACCGTAACGTTGCATTTGTATAAACGTCCAGGTTACTTTGGACGGTGCATTTTCGTTCGCGGCGATACCCCGGTAGTGCCGTCATATTTGTTACCGAATACGTTTAATCGCTAGCTATCAATCGATCTCTCTCCCCCTCGTTCCCACCCTCCGTCCCTCCCAATGGAAGCGAAGACAAAGAGGCGCTTCAGCGGGAGAGACGCGCGCTGCCCGAATCCGTGCGGGCCCCGATCATTCGATCGATCTTGCGTTAATTCTTTTCTCCCCCTCCTCCGTTTTCTCCCCGTAAACGCGAATTAGCGAAAAAAGGTAAATTACTGTAATGTTTTCTGACGATCCTGTACGCCAAATCGAATTGACTTGTTACATTTGTAAATGTTTGTAAGTACTACCGTACGTAATAAAATAATCGAGTAATAATCATCGAATTGCCCTGACGACCACCGTGTGTCTGTTATCCAGCCGATTAGTTCAACCTTACGAACAACGAATAAAGCAAATCATGACATACTGCAGCACAGTCTCACTCTTATTCTATTGGGGTGTCCTAATAAAAGAAGCGTAGCGGACTGCTCCCGGAGAAGAATCCACCGTACTTCCTTAAGGAGGATCGAGACTACCATCGGACAGAATAGGGAGAAGATCATCTCCGGCCGCTCATGTTCTCCGATTAAACGCAATTGAGCTGTTTAATTCACGCGTGTTTCTATAATCCATAATTACACCATGACAAGGAATAATATTAGATACTTATTGATATATTTACACTTGATCTGTCTCCGGAGAAAAGCCGTGCGCCTGTTTAATGCCCTCCGCGACGACTTGGCGTTCTTGTTGCATCTCCTTGTACGACTGCAGGAGCCTCTGGATCTTGTTTCTCGTCGCCGGCTGGAGGGGCGTCACGCACAAGTAATGCGCGACTAATTCCACGTCGTCCGTGGAGTCGCACTGCTCGAGCTCCGACTTGACGCGATGAATTATATGGTATAGGCGTATCAGGAGCGCGGCATCTTTGATCCGGCCGGTCTCGACCATCTCGCACAGCAGATTGTCGATGTTGCTCGTCCACACCAGGTGAAACACCATCGGCCCGAAGTGGCGCGTGGATCTCAAGAGGTCGAAGCGCCTCTCGGCGTTTATGTGCTCGTAGACCTGCCGCGTGACCGCTTGATAATCCGGATCGTCCGGCTCGAATTGCACGCAGGCGCGATCCAGTATAAACTCGTACTCGCTGCGATTCAACAAGTCCTGCAAAGAAAGCCATTTACTTGACGCGATCGTTTCTCCGCTTGTGTCTCTTTCCTCTTAACACTAGAAGTACCTAGCGGTCGTTTCTGATAGTTTCTATTTTTTAGATTAATAGTCATAAGATTTCAAAATCTTATGACTTTCTGTCAATTATTCGATCAATCATCTGATTGGTGAGAAGTTACAAAATTTCAGAATCCCATCTTTTACACGAGAAATAGTGTCAATCTAAAAAAACAAAAATGACCGTTCGGCACCGCCAGTGTTAAACACGTAAAACAGCGAACTAGATAGGTGAAAGCAACGTATGTACCTCCAAGTATTCGCCTTCAAACATCTTTGGTTTATCTATCACCCTTCCCGGTCTCGGGAAGAAGGTTTGTATCATTCTGTCGCGCTCCTTCCAAGTGGCGTGTCTGAGCGTGCCGTCCTGCTCTCTGATCACTATGAATCTTTCTCTGTGCCTAATGCCGTACGTGATGTCGGTGAAGACGTATTTGACGGTGTCGTGACCCTGCAGCGCGACTTCCTCGCACAACGGCGCGGACGGATCCACTCTCTGCTTCACCACGGGCGGCATCTGCAGAAGCCTCTCCGCCCTGAACTTGGCCTGTTGCGTGGCTGCCTCGAGCTGCTCGTCCGTCATGAACTTGTACTGCGGCGGCTCGAGCTTGTGTTCGTCCGCGCGATTCCGAAAAACCTTCGGGTAGTCCACCGTCGCCAGCGTCCTGAGACACGCCTGAACTTCCTTGTCGAAGAACAACAGCGCTGGATCTCTCTTCGTTGGATCTGCAAAAATTGCATAAAGCTCGATGAACCCATCTTAACCCATCACGATATCAACGCGTCTCCATCGACTTTTCCGCCTTGCCTGCGGCGCGGGCAGCAAGGGGATAACCTAAAAATTGCACCCGGCTCACGTCGACGCGATGTAATGAAGATACCTCTTTCTACGTCCGCCGAGGCGAAGCCGCGGCGATTCGAGACGGCACGCGAGTACGAGTGCCGCAAGAGTTTGCTCGCGTGACGCGAGAGCATGATGATCCTCGACGAGCGGCTGACGACGATACTCCGCTCGGCCTCAAACCGCGCCGCCGCTTGCGAAGAGGTTAGGTTAGGTTAGGTGCAAGAAGTGCCCCCGGTTCAGCACTGTAAAGAACACTTCTTTCTCCTTCTAATGTGGGGGGAAGAAGATAAGCTCTGAACTTACAACACTTACAAGAACAGATCCATGGAGCGGTGTACGTTGCCAGAGCCGGCCCGGTCTTGTGACTTTGAAAAGTCAGCTGTACTTCGCCAAGCATTATCACGATCGAGGTAAAAGTGCGTTTGAACGTTGCTTATGACATGTCGAAATTACTATCGCGATTTCATACTTCGCTCGTCAGACGAAACTGTCAAGAGGCATCGGTTGCGACTGCACCAAAAGACTGGACCTCTGGTCGTCGAGATTTGCGAGACCAGCAAATTGGAGAGCGGAAAGGACACGGAGAAGTTATATCAGAAAATATTGGCGGTGATAACGCTTCTGAGCGGTCTGGGAAGCCCCACGGTCCCATCACATCTGAGGTAATTGTCGATTATATTTGCGCGAACCTTATTAAAAATTCAAATGTAAAATGAAGCAAAATCGATAATATTCGGTTCGTTTCATCTCGCATTTCTATTTTCTCGATCATGATTTGATCGAGCTTATTAATTGTAATCATATTCTGTCGCTTATATAAGCGAGAAGTGTAAAAAAAGACATTTGTTTTTCCAAGATTAACGGAAAAAGGATTGCGGCTGAAGATTCGTCATGATCATAGGGGAACC